AAAATCAACTCCATATCTTTTTTTTAAAAAAATAATAACAGACGAACATCAATTTTTTAAAAAGTATTTTTATAGATTTTTTGTACATTATTGTATGAAAAGATAATTGACAAAAATGTGTTGGTTTTATTTTTAAAACAATTAATTAAATTAAATAACAGTACATATATTTTTTTATATCCAGTCTATTTGGACTAACTCAATTATCAGCTTTCTCATTTTTTATTTAACTAGATACGAGTAAAAAGAACTCATGTTCATTGCTAATTAATAACATTGTAAAAAAATATTGAAAGAAAGAAAATCGATGCTTTCGTTGGTTATTTTTCACGCAAAAATACAGGAAAACTCTTTAAAAAAAATTATTACTTTTTTTTAGAAAAAAATCAATGATCATCCGTCAAATTCAATTTTTTTACAATAACTAACAGATGAACGCCGATTTTTAAAATGCAAAACTGCAGTAAAAGAGCATATATAGAAATAAAGAAATTATAAAATTTAATATTTTGTGTTTAAATGATACATAAAAAATAGAGTTGAAGGGTTAATTTTTATCTTTTAAAGAAAATCTTTTTTAGCTTTTCACTCTATTAGAGAAAATGTGATGCGGAGACTGCCATATTATAACTTAGAAGTGTCTAAATGGAACATAAAAATTGAAGTTGAAAAATTAAAATGGAACAAGATTGAATTGAAGTGCCAAAATTAAATTCAGAAACAAGTTTAAGAATCTGTATATGTAATTGGCCAAAAAAAAATTTAACTTAAACGTAAAATATTTTATTAAAATTCTCATTTGTAATATTATTAGATATATTTCTTATGTATTTGTTCAAATCTTTATTACTCCATACATAAATATAATAATTGCAGTATCTTTTTGATCTTATAACATACAAGGCTATTTTTATTTCTTCCATCCCATTGAAATTAGAACACAATTAATAAGTGAAGGATAAAATGATAAAGAAAGGATCTCTAGTTGTGAATGACACTACTAATCAGCAATGATAGTGGTGAAATAGGGTCGAATACATAAATAAATTTCTAAATTTGTTGGTTTTTCCCTTAGGTACTTCAATTATGTTATTTTTCTATTAAAACATTGAACCACCCATAATTTGTTCTTTTTAAACAAACATCATTGGCTAATGTGGAATCAGATTTTGTGAGGCATGAGGATACATATGTTGTTCCAAAACTCATTAGTCCAATTGATAGTGAAAATGTTCGGGAATAATTGTGTTTACTTCAAGTTATTTAAACATACTAGAAAAAAATGAGATTCATACAGTTTGTCTTCTTCGTTTAATCAAAATCATTGCAATACGAATGCAATTGAAGACATTTACAATAGAAAAGCCGATCGAAATCAACCAACAATATTTAAATGGAATAAATTATAGGTGGTTCAATAATTTAATAGGAAAATTAAGAAGTTAAGGTACATACAGATTAAACCCAACAAGTTTAGAAATCTTTTTAGAGTTCAGTCGATGAAATAGATATAAGATTTTCATTCATAATTAAGAAATTTTGGATTATTTTTTTTAATACAAAACATCTTTTTACAGTATGCTTTACACAACATAAATTTGAATTATACATTTCTTTTAATGAATTTTACATGATGTAAATCTCACATAATTGATATCTCAAAATTAGTATTCAAATACGGAATAATAAAAATGATCATGTTAGTAGATAGTAAATCTATACGTTTCATGAATTCAACCTTTAATATTTTTAAAATTATAAATTAATACTTACTATTGATTAGAATTTTAGTGAACTAAAATTTATATTTTTTCATCAAAATTATGATTTTAGATAAACTCGTAACATAAAGCTGCATCGGCCCCTAACATTTGGTCTATCACATGAAAATGTTGTTACATGTGATGGAACACATATTATTGATTAATAATAACGATAGATTACAATATTAACCTTCATTGTTGATTTATAAGAAGGAAAATTCCTATTGATATAATCCAATTATGTCACTTTCTTTGTCGTGAACATGACCCCCTTTCTCTCTAATCGAGAGATGTGGTCGGATGAATGATATTTTTATATTTTAGTAAGAAATTTTACGTTGGAAAGTTTAATATGCAATAATTAATGTAAAAATTGTTAAAATAATTCTCTTTTAATATGTGATACATAATTACACTTATTTATATCATAAAAATGAAGAAACTGTTGATAAACAAAACTTTTTGTTCATTTATAACTATCGTAAAAAAGATATATAACGATAATAGATTTTTTTTGTAGCAATAATATTTATCATCACAAAAATATTTGATTATAACCACGTTAATGTTATTTTTATCTAGAGTTGCTAAATTTTTTAATGACTTTTATAAAGAATATTTATTATAAATACTTATTTCCACTAAGACGCAAATGTAATATAATATAATACTAATTGGATTGTTATCGCTAAATATAATATAATATAATACTAATATTAACCTATATTATATAAGTTCAAATTAGTTGGACATAATAATTCAATTCCTAAACCCCACCACACAAAAAAGAAGAACAAATTTGAATTGACATATATCCATATTTAACAAGGAAAACCAATTAAATTTGAAGAACAATAAAAAGGGATAATGTAATATACGCAACACATATTTTTTTTGTTTCAAACGGATTAATAACATATAACGTATAAGTCTCAATAACTAATTTTACAATTAAATTTTTAATTATAAATTATATAAAAATAATTTTATCATTATTTCGTGACTAGCGATACTCCATATGCTATTTTGTCAAGTAATTATAAATTCACAGAACAGTAAGAGATGGATCTTGATAAGTTAGTGGGTGTACACTATGCAATATGACTGTAATTACACTATTCTTTGAGATAAAAATATAATACTAGGTTCTAACCCAAAATATAAAAATAATGACTAGGACTATAAAAGTGTTGGACACTCATGTGGATAAATTTATTAAATTTGAGATACATTGTACTTGTTTTTTTAATAACTTAATGTAATTTTAAATGTGATTTGTAAAAGAAAATAAAAAAATAGAATCATGTAAGGAGCTAATAATTTACATTAATACTGGTGTGGACACTTTACATTTCTTTTTTTATTGAATATAAATTAGGAGAGACAAAATTAAAATAAATCATTAATTAAAATAGATTTGACTTTGATATTAAAATACAAGAAAAAATGTATTTCCAGTTTTAATTTTTTGTGTATTCGTATTTAAAGATAAATTGAAATTGTCAAAATTAAATTAATTTTAAATATAAAAAAGCGATATTCTTTTACAAAATGCACTTAATTTCTTAGAAATAATGAAATAGGTGAAATTAGTATTTAATAAAGTAGTGTAAAGTAGGGCTAATCGAGAGCTTTTAGAGGTGCGACTCAATGTAGAAGACTTAATTTTCAAAATATTTTTAATCGTTTAACACGTTGAAAATCGTAATATAATTATTCTAATCGTAATATAATTATTCTAACTATTAAAATAATGCTCTTATTTTGTTTTCACAATAGCTTATTTCGATCTCACTTCATTTAAATTAATTTCTATATATATAATTAAACTTATTATTAAATTTCAAACTTAAAATATGCCAAAAAGTACTAAAGTATAAGATTAAATACCCAAAAAAATATATCTATTATGAATTTGATTTTCAAAGACTTATAGTCTAGCATACTTTGGAGGAATTTTTATTTTATTTTTTTAAAAAAGACCTCTAGGATACTGCTTTATTTAGGTCCTCTTTTATTCCTATTATTTAAAAATTACAGATTTTCCTTTTTTTATCATAATAATTTTATACTTTTTAAATATTTTTAAAGTTATCATATAAGACCTTTTACGTAATTTCTAATGTACTCCTCATCATCTTCTGCCTTCTTCCTTTCTTCGTGACACAATAGTATAGACGTGTCATCGATCTAATAACTTTAAACATAATTTATATAAATACTCAACAGTTAATAGTTAAATATTATATTATTTAGAAAAAATATACAAGTATTTCCTCAATTTATATATCCGACACACTTATACTATACTAAGGTCCTATTATTCTCCTGAACTTATTATATAAATAATTTTCCACCCTTTTTTTGCCTATGTGACACTATCTTGAAGAAAAAGAGTAGAAATTATTAATAAAATAAGTTCAGGGATAATAGGACATTAATACAATATAAGTGTGTCTCTGAGATTTTGGACATAGATTGAGGGGCTACTTGTGCAATTATCCTCGTTATTTATCTCGATTTTAATTACGTGTAATATAATATTAAAAAAAATTATTTACAAATCGCTGAGTCACACATACGTATGACTCCAGACGCACCGATTAAAATAGGAGTTTGGAAGTGGCCTTTCATATCATTTAAAGTAACGGTTTTTTTCACTTTTCTACTAAACATTCAAATCAATAAATTTCACTATTTTTCTCCCTTTTTTTTTTTGGCTGATTTACTTTCTGTGTTTTTTTCTTATCGAAGAATCTCATTTCAAGCTTCTTTTTTTCTGGAGTTTTAGTAAAGATTCCATTTTTTATTTTATTTTTTGCAGAAATTATCAACCAAAATTGGAGAATTCACCATTTTTCTCCTTTGTTTTGTTGATTTTCTTTCTGGGTTTCTCTTTTTTTCAGTTCTTGAAAACTGAGAAGTTGCATTTCAAGTTTCTTTTTTCTGGGTTTTCATATAAAGACTCCTTTTTTCTTTTTTGCAGATTTTTTCGACCAAAATTGGGTTTCATCCCTTTTTTTAGTTTGATTTTCTTTCTGGGTTTTCTCTTAGTTTCAGTTACAAGTCTCATTTTAAGTGTTTTTAAGTTTATTCCTTGTTCTGGGTTTCAGATAAAGACTCAAATTTTTTTTGCCCCAAAATTGGGTTTCAGTATTTTTCTCTCCTTTTTTGCTGATACCCTTTTTGGGTTTTTCTTCTTTTCAGTTGTGGAATCCTTTATAAGTCGCACTTCAAGTGTTTTGTTTGGATCCTTGTTGATTTTTCGTTCTGGGTTTCAAATAAAGATTCCATTTTTACCCAGAATTTATTCGAATTTAAAAGTATGGTGGTTCTAGTTTCACGTTCTGGAAGGCATTTACAGAGATACAACAAGGGTCGTCGCCAAGTCGTTGGGTATGTAAAAACAAAAACAAAAAAACTCACTTTCCCCCTGTATTCATGCTTGTTGATAGAGACAAATTCAAGATTAAATTGTATACACTTAACTACTTAAAATTTCAGTTTGATTTAGTATTAGATCATGTTTATTTTGAACCGACGGATAAGGTTTGCGCACATCATACCCTCCCAAGTCCCAACATACTGCACTTGTGTTTACATTTTTGTATGTTGTTGTAGATCATGTTTCTAATAAACAATTAGTGTCTTTTAACTCCATGTTATTATATGTATAATTTTTTGAAGTTCTCCTGTTTTTGCATATTCTTCTTGGTATAGTAGACTATTAGTTCTTGTCTTTTTGCTTCCAAAATTTTTGTGTATAGTGTCCAAATTTGGGTGAATATTAATGTTAACTATGGAAGATTAGTTTTTATGAGTGAATATTGGAACTAGCCTCTCTAATGACTAGTTCTTGGATGAGGAGTTGAGGCTGTTTTTAAGTTAGTTTTAGAACAATAGGGGTAAAGTCTGCGTACACTCTACTAAACTCCCCAGATCTCACTTTGCGGGTATTTTGTTCTTGTTGTTGTTCTCCCACCCCGGGGACGGAGGAGTTCATTCACTGGAAAATCACACTTACATACAAGTTGCATATGTTGAACCCCCATAGTGAAAATCATGTCGCATCAACTGTCCGAGCAAGTCACAAGACAAGAGCCTTCTGCTCGGGCTCCACCTATTTTAATTTTAACCAAAACTTCTGGTGGGAGGAAAGTGGGTGTAATGAAGAGTTTACATCTAGCATGGAACAAAATGATAGCGCAATGGTCCATTTCAGTCTGCAATTACAAGGATCTCTTTAATTACTAGCCTTTAGCTTAGTAGGTGGGATGGAGGGCCAAGTGGTCCAACATCAAGAGGTGTTTGATGTTCTTTTACTTGTGTAGAAATATGCAATGATTTACAAAGTAGAGTCTTTGAAGTAATTCCTACTCACTCCGTTTCAATGTGCTTGTTTTACTTTCTTTTTTAGTTCTATTTTTAAAAAAAATGCATCTTTCTTCTTTTGGCAAATCTTTAGTCTTTAATTCTGACTTCTCATGTGACATGCTTAAGACCACAAGATTAAACCAAGAGGGGAGTACTTGATTGCAGCTTCTCAACCTAGTCGTTTATGAAAACGAAGTTTTTGTATTTTTTGAAAATGAACATGAGGTGAACTGTTTCAGTTTTGACACTTACCAAAGATTGATAAAGAAATAAATAATTAGTTAGCATAAGTTTTTCCGTCTTTATCTTATCAACTGACCTCATATGTCATTTTCTCCCTAGTGTATTTTTTTTTCTTTTGGATGTTTCTGTTAAGCTTGAAATAGTCATGAGCTCGTGGCATAGTGTTCACCTCATCACATGTTTTGTTTTTTCTCTGGTAAAAGGACCATTTTTTCTTCTCATTTAATCTATTTAATTGTTAAATGAAAGGGTAGGTGGGACATTTATTCATTGTCCTTTTCTTGGTGCATTTTTTCTTCAAAAATTATATCAGTGCAAGTATGGTACACTGTTCTTGGACAACAAAAACAACAACATACCCCGTGTAATCACAGAAGTGGGGTCTGGGAAGGGTAGATTTGTTGGCTGACCTTAACCATACCTCGTGGAGATAGAGACTGTTCTTGGACAATAACTAAAATTAAGTAGCTGTTGTCTAACAATATTGATCTGATCATTGGTTGCGCTTACCAGTTACCGTGTGGATATGTTTCTGTTATATGATTCTCATGTGTAGAAGGCATCTAAAGAATGACCTAATACTAGTTTGAATTTCTTTTTGTACCGCTAAAAATATGTAACTTCATCGTTATGCTCACGTTGTCCTGGGATGAGTTTCAAGTATAAATCAACGGTGTGTCTAATTCTCTGGTGTCTTCTGCAGATGTATCCCTTACAGATATAAGGATAATTTTGACCTATCCATGGGGGACGAAGATGCATTTGAAGTTCTTCTCATAAGTCCTCAGAGAAAAGGAAAAGGACTGTTGTTCCCTAAGGTAGCCAACGATCTATATGGGTTTAGAACTCAATGATAGTTTATTCTCTAAACTCTACAGATTCATTCGTCTGCTTTGCTTACAAATCTCGCTCTTTTTATATCAGGGAGGTTGGGAAAAGGATGAAACAATTGAAGTTGCAGCAAGGCGTGAGACGATTGAGGAAGCTGGTGTTTGCGGTGATATTGAGGTTAGTTTTTAAAACAGTGATTCATTCCTTTTGGCTTCTTACAATTCCAACTTGTTACCATTAATCCTGAGTTTTGATCTTGAATCAGTACACTAGTTTCTGATTCAATATGGTTTCATGATAGATCGCATTTAAGACTCGTACTGAAGTCAGATTCATTTCTTAAAGATACTCTTAAATCTTTAAAATCAATGCTTAATAGTAACAGGTCAACTAACGGCGAAAAGAAATCTTATTACTTGCTAGCTGTTTTTTAATTGTTGATCTGCAACCCTGTTAGTGTTAATATCTACATATAGGTCGTTAGATGTAGTTCTAACAAGAGGTTGGAAACTTCAACGCAGGGCAAACTAGGAACATGGTACTTCGAGAATAAAAATGGTGACACTGCCTATGAAGGACACATGTTTCCTTTATTTGTGAAAGAGGAACTAGATTTGTGGCCTGAGAAGGACATCCGCGAAAGATTTTGGGTATGCATCTGTCCATAACCGATAAATTTGCACATAAATAATGTCACATTATCATCTTTGCTTACTATTATTTTCAAATGTCATTTGCAGATGAGCGTTCAAGAAGCAAGAAAGCTCTGCCAGCAGGGGTGGATGAAAGAAGCATTGGAGATGTTAGTTAGTCGGCTCACGTCCCAATGTAGGCGGACTAAAATAGACCTGTTTTCAAGAATCAACCGTGGCTCCAGTGGCCATGGAACTGTTTTACGTTTGGGATGCAGGGCTCAGGTACTTACTCCACCACCACCACCAAGCCCGGCAGAAGAGGCCTAGTTTACATCAGCCAAAGAATGTGGTAAAAATAGCTTGTAAATAAGTAATTAGAACAGTGGTATTTGGATTAGCTGCACATCACGGTTGGGAACAAAGCATGGTTTTAAAAAGAGGAAGGTAGAGGTGTAGGGCCATTATTCTCAAGATTTCGAACTGTAGGCTGGTGATTGTTCACCACGTGTTGGACCTGGGCCACATATCATTCACCAAGGTTTGAACCAAGCGCCTATAATCCTTGGGCATGTCTTGGTTTTTAAAAAGACGGGAAATCGTGTGTGATGGTTGATGGAGTACAAGCCTCCTTATCCGGATGTAACAGTGTAGTAGCAACTGCAGACGGAGGAGTCGTAGCAATCTGTCTTAGTGCTAACTCCAATTTTCAGGAGAACATAAACATAGAGGTACCCATAGAACTGTTTAGTTTTTTTTTTCCTCGCTTGTTTTGTTTTCTTGGAATTGGAGATAAGGTTGTTGAATGGCTTTAGGCTCACAAACAGTGTTGTTTAGGGTGCAGTCTTTTTTAGGAACTTTACTTTTCTGCCTGAAGATAGTAAAGTTACCTTTTAACTTATGATGATTGCTCTTAATCCTCCCTCCCTCTACTGTCATGTGGGCTTGGATTTCAAATATATTTTATGTTTGGCACTTAAATCTGAATTCCAAGTTAAACAAGGATCAACTATTCCACCCCCAGAGTTTCATCAAGATGATGTCTTGGGTGAATTTGAGACGATCGTGTTTGCCTATAAGTTGTAACTATAGATAAAATGTATACATATGATTTTTGTCACCATACGACTGATCCTGAACACATTCAACGGGTTATTATTTAAACAATGTGATGTGTACCCTTTGTCATTGGCTAAAAAAAAAATAGTATAAATTCCTTCTTTGCTTTTCTATACTTCTTCACTGCTCATACAGCTTTACGAATACTCATCAAGATTGTCGTCTCAATCAATCAAGAATGCCTTGACCGGATATTTTATCCAAATTTACACTTCACTAGATAGGGAAATACAAAAGCGCTACAAATTGCATCTAGGTCTTTTAATGAAAATGGAATGTTTTGAAAGGGATATATCATCTTTAGAATTGAAAGGAAGATCGAATCTGATTGACTGACTACTGTAATGTTCTTCATTAAAGTAAATAACAAATGAAGATGAGCAGTAGCTAATATAATTTGCCTAAAATCCCAAACATATCAATTTCATTGTCATGTCTACAACAACATGATGAAGAACATTACCATGTTGGGAAAGGTAATGAGATTGTTTCTGATAAGACTTTCGGCTCGTGAAAAGCTACGTCGCAAAAAGAACTGAAAAATTCTTTGGCTATTATAAGCAATCATCAACTAGACGACCACCACACTGCCAACATGGTTCATACTTTATACAACCTGACTTCTAAAATAATGACCTCAAATCACATTAATTGACCTCTCAATTACAGTCAAAAAGACTCAGATGATCATCATCCTAATTTCTAACCAGTCAGTCCAGCAGACTTGGCCAAACTCTCTTGTAAGAAATTGCCAGTTTCCCCAGGTGCAGTTGGATTATCTAAAGAAGGTTTGTTTTCGGATTTAACTTGCTTTCTCCTTTAAGCACCATATGTTTCTCCTCAATTTGATGTTGATTTTCCAAATATTGGCTCTAGTTTCTAAGAGAAATAAAAGAAAACATAAAGCAAGATACCCTTTTAAGGCTCCATATTTGGTCATGGGTACAGTAAATACTTGTTTGTTTGTTTTTATTTGACAACGGTAATGGTAATAGAATAAATACTTGCTTAGTAGTTGCTCAAAGTTCAAACAAGGAGATATCAGAGCTGTTGGGGATGGAAAAAGCATGGTGAAATGATCTACCAAGGCCAGGATCTGAAAGAGAGGATTCACTTTCCGAAATTCCAAGTGACATCCTTCAAAAGCTTCCAAGTGACATCCTTCAAAAGCTAAAGTAGAATTATTGAAGTCTCCTTTAGGTTCAGTCGAAAAGATCAAAGTGAAGTCATCAATTTACCCATTCGAATGGTCTCCCCTAAGATTGATCTCTTTTCCAAATAAACCAAACCTTGACACCACATTCATCAAATAGATATTGGACATCCGTTAGGTTTCTTAAAGCAAGGTGATCCTCCTTTTTGTTGTCCAATACTATTCGCAGCTCCTTTCAGCTCTATCCTTAAGAACTAAATTCTGTAGCACAGCTAAACCCCTCTCTACCTTGAGATCTCGTCCTGACCCTTAGTAAGTCATGATTACTCTAAAAGTTCACATAAGAAATGAGGTTGCCGTAAGAAGAACATTGTGGAGATCTCAGAGAGCCTCTCTCAAAGAAAAAAATGAAGGTAAGTGACAATAGAAGTAGTTGTGGCAATGGGTTGGGTCAAGGGTGTCCTTACTCTTACAAATAATAACAAGGAAATTCACCAAACCAGAAGGTGGACACAGCTAGTTTTAATTGGGTAAGACTATGTGGGGCGGGCAAGGATATATGGGAAGAAATGATTCCCACCCATTGCCATCTTTAAAGAGTTAGTAATGAGGTTGCTAACATTCTAGTTAATTTGATTAAACTCCACCTAAAAAGTCAACTCGATTGGTATGCAAAATACACTACTTAATGTGTTATGCTTAAAAAGAGACAAGAGAACAACCATGTTTACAAGTAACCATGCACACCTCATCATTTAAAAACGCGGTGCACGAGCCATAAGGATATATCAAGTCTTCTGAGTAGTAACAACTTACTGTATCTAAAACTAACTTGCACGCACATTGGCTAACCACTAGGTAGCGTGCTACCATGCAACAAGCAAAGGGTGCAGGTGATCTTGTCCACCAAGCTTAGAAGTATTTAAGCTTAGCCCGATTGTTGTACCAGGGGATCAAACCTCGGATCTACAGTCCAATATTTCAATCACCCGATCATCATCTTGAGAAAACATTAATTATTAGTTCTTTTTTCCATTTCCTATTTTTGTTCAGTAAGACATTACTTTAGCAAAATTACCGATTTGGGAATCTGATTGATATCGGAAAGGTTAGTTATCCAGTTCCAGTTACAAACAATCCAACATCTTGGATCCAAATCTCTACCAAAACACACAGCAATCAAGAACTATACCAAGAGTATAGCACAACATTCAGCATTTTGGCAACATGTGTAGTTACTACCTATACTATCAACAACATAAACTAAAATACTTCCACGTTGGGCTTACCAAGCACTTGCTGCTGCTCACGCCACCCACTTGGCGAGCAGTACGCTCGATATCCTGACTTTTCTCTCGTTATGTTGACCAATGAATAAAGTTTAAACTTTTATTCATGAATACCACATTAAGTTTCTAGACATGGGTATAACAATGGCACCCATGTAATCCCACAAGTGCACTCAGGGGGAGGGTGGCGTGCACGCAGTGTGACCCCTACCTTGAGAAGGTAGAACTGTTGTTCCTACAGACCCTCAGCTCAAGTAACAAAATATAAGATGCATTGCGCATTTAAGTCATAAATTGTTCAAAATATAGCTTATGCATCAGTCTACAAGCAAATCAAAACAAGTGCTAACTAATATAACGATCGAAACCCCAAATATCAAGACAAGATAATCCATTGAGCAATTCACAAGTCGTTTAACATTATTACTCCATAATGAAAGATGAAAGCAGTACAAGAAAAACCCAATTCACTAAATATCCCATACCATATAAATACCAGCAAAAGAGTGGCAGATCCGATTGGAAAACCCGATCTAAATCCTTCCCTTCAATCCTGAGCCTTCAACTTCTCCACACGCTTATTCAACTGCTCAACTTTAACAACAAGTCCAGTAACAGAGTACAACAGCCAGTAGAAGACAAGAGCAGATGCGATGAGCAGCGCGTTACGCTGAGACTTCATAATCGATTTCTGGTGACGGAGGTACTCCGATGGGGAACAAGATTCGGATGATTCACAAGTGGGTCGGGTCTCATACTTCCAGTATATATCCATTAACAGGAAGAGACAAAACGGTACGATCGAGAGGAATGGTTTGAGAAGATTTCGGGTCACTGCGATTAACCCTTTACGAAGTGGGTCAAGACCCGGAATCGTTAGGAGAAGGAGCATGATTGCTTCTGCACCCGCAGCGTAGCCGAGAACAACCCATTCCAACGCCATTGATGATTGATCGAAGAATTGAAGGTAATTTTCTTTTCTTTTTTTTCAGAGAAGATGAAGAATTGAAGAAAGTCTTTTGATTAATTAAGAAGGAAAGTATCAATTATAAAGTGTGAAAAAAAGGATTTGGGCCATAATGATTAAAGCCCATCTTGCAAGTTCCCTAAAATCCCAATTAACAATATAAAGTGTTTTTTTGGTAGCCAGTTTTATGGAAACTTAAGTAAATATATTATAAATAAAAAATATTTATTATCTATGGTAAAATTAATATTTTTTTACTAATCATTTTTAATGCACTTGTAATACATTATAATTTATATTGCAAAGAACAATTTTATTATTCAAATATAATACAAATTTTATTGATGAATATTATACATATATCACACATTAAAATATCCAAAATAATAATAATAACGATATCGTGTAAAAGATATTGCAAATTAACAAGTCATAATGAAGATGATCGTAATTTAAAAATACTAAATCATGCTAAAACAAGTTTAATAAATATTGGTTACATGACTAAATATTAAAGGAAATTAAACTTAGACTATGTGTTTTAATTGTTTAAACTTTAAGCCATTGTCAAACCAAAAAATAAATATTCAATATTATTATCATTCTTTGTGTTAAATTGATTTTCATTAATTTGATTAAATTGATTTTCATTAATTTGATTGTAGTTTAATTACCAACAGTTTGTAGACTATAATATTTATAAAGTCATTCAAGATTTTAAGTTTAAACTTGAAATAATATATTAAAAAATAAAAATTGTGAAAAATGTATAAGAAATATTTAAAAGTTATATCAAAGTAAATATTTTTATGTATAAAATAAAATTTAAAATTTATATATATAATATCAGGTTAATTTGATTGAGAATAAATTTTTTTTAGTTAAAATCAAACCAATTCAAATATAATCGATTTTTTTTTCAAAACCTAATCAAATCAAAAAGTTTTTTTTTAATTCAACTCGATCTACGATTTAATTCGATTTACCTGCAGTGATAGCTGTTTTTAATGTAGGACAAATTTGAAGTTGCGCTAGAAGTTCATTGATAAGAGTTTTATACACAAACTATAGGAAGTGCATTAAGCTTGGATTAAGAAAAAGCCTTATTTATTCTACAAGTACTTTGTTACATCCATTCAATTCCACAACTTGTGACAACATACACAAAACTATACTTTTAATTTTATTATACCATAACCAAGACTTTATAGCTTGCTAGTGATATTAATGTTCCTAACTTTAGATGTTTTTGGAGTTGCATCTTTTGGTACAACAATGGTAAGAACACCATTTTCACATTGAGCTTTAATTTGATCCACCTTCACATCTTCCGGCAGCTCGATCTCCCTCGAGAAATCGCCACCTCTCCCTCCTCCTCGCTCCGCCACATGCCACACTATATCCTTCTCTTTACCGTGGAATTCGTCCTTCTTGCCGCCGTGCCCCTCCGCCTTCACCACCAACACATTTCCATCTTCAACTTGCACCTTTATATCCTCCTTGCTATATCCTAACAAATTCATTTCAAATAATATATCCAGCATGATCTTACAAGTCAAGTCTGAATACGTTCATCGAATAGAAAGACTGACTCTAATAAATCCTCGACTCAAAAATTTGTAGCATGGATCTTGTAATAAGTTGCACCTAGCGTTATGCCTCAACTTTCAAGTAAAGATAGATTCATACTTTGAACTCTAGGCGCTCTAAATCTAAATGCCACTAAATTCACTAATTATATTATTACACTGTGTTCGAAATTAAATATTTGTATTTGTGAAACAAAACTAGTGCATTCAGAACCCATTATAGACCTGATCTCAAACAAATTAAAATTGACTATATAAATCTCGAATTATATTAAATCCAAGCACAATACTCATATGTTGTTACATTTCCTTCCATTAATAATTAGCTTTTACTTGCATTGAATTATTAAATCTTTCAACTTCGATCCTTGTAATATCAAACAAGTTCATCAAATTAAGTATAGTTATACTTATACATATAAAAACATCTACGATACGATAATTTTTTATCAACTTGATAATCAAATTGGCCAGGATAACATTTATAATTTCCGATAAACAGAGTCAGGATTTAAAATTTATAAATTCACAATTTGTTATGAGATCATAGCTTCGTCTTAGTTAGCGTAAGTTCACAATTAAACATTTGATACGAATTATTTTCTCTTTAAATCTTAGATTCGCCTCTCCGATCAGACGAAATTATAAAAATTGAATAGCAAAGTGAAGAAATCAAAACCTGGGACATTGATTTTGAAGATGTGAGAATTAGGAGATTCAATCCAATCGAGAAGAGCTGGAGAACCAGAAAAGCTTCGATGAATCGTCGGACTCAATAAGAATCTTCTAAAAGGATCACCAAAAATCGCCATTCTTTTTTATCTGTTTATTTTAGGAGGAGAATGCTATATAAAGAAATGGAGGTTTAATGGAGTTTTTTCTGGAAGATCCAGAAGGTTCTGTAAAGCTTATCTTTTGGTACATTGGAGAAGATGATGTAGGGGATGATGATCTGTGGAGATCCCTATGATAATTACTGTGGTCATGAGTGAAAAAAAAATATTGAGTTGGGCTTTAATTTAAGTTTGTTTTTGGGCTTGAATTTGTCATTTCAAAGAGGTAAATCTTAAATTTTTGTTCTCCCTTTTATTGTAAAATTATACGTTTTGTCTTTTAAATAGATTGATATTTAGTTTTGATCCTTTAGATGAGCTAGTCTTTAATTTTTAAACGTTTAGTGTAATCATAAGTTCTCTAGAAATTGAATTCATGCCCTTACATAACTTTTGATATATTATGATATCATGCAAATATATATTTATACATCGATGAAAAGATTATTTATTATAAGGGGTATAAATCATAGACGAGCACAATATGCATAATTGCAATTTTCGAGATTTATATTAGAAATTGAATCTTATCAGATATTTAATTTCAGTTAAAAATAAATTGTTTTTGATCATGGAAAGCCATACGAAACTTCAGACAAAATACCGAACATATACTTCAAACATAAAGTCATACGTGATCTTTTAAACTTTAGTCACGTACATTTGAATTTGTGTCTGAAGTGAGTAAACTTATCGAAAAATTTTAGCATTAAATTAAATAACGATTTCAAAAGCAACCGTAAGGTCACAAAATAAACAGTTGGGCCATCTAATTTGGACCCATATCCAAAATGGATTGTCCAAATTTTAATCTGGGCTTAAGCCCAGGTCCATGGTCTATTTTATGGACATAGCTTATATTATGTCTTCCTTTAAAAACAAGACACATTTTTACTTTTTGGCCAGAAACTTAAACAACATTCAAAGTTACCACATTTTAAATAGATCGAGTGAAAAATTCAAAAATAAAATAAAATGTTGATGTATTAATACGATCTTCGAGATATTTCATTTTTTTTCTTTGTTCGTATGAGAATCAACACACCTCTATAATACTTTTCCCCTTGTGAAGATACGTTTATTAAAAAAATAGTCTTGTGTATATATATATATATATAAAAAAAAAAGAAGCTTTTTATGTGTATAAATAAATTGTTTGTTAAGCCCCAAAACATAAGCTAGAGTTTTTCTTTTTAAATCCCTTATTGAAATTCTTGCAAAACCCTTTTTTCATATGGTTAGAAAATTGTATGTCTTTTTTTTAGGGGTTGTTTGATTACTGGTTAGAATTACACAGGAATTAGCTATGCAGGTATTAGTTATGCAGGGTTTAGTTATGCACATATTAGTTATGCAAGGTTTAGTTATGTAGGTATTACCAATGCAGGGTTTAGTTATGCAGATATTAGTTATACATGGTTTAGATGTTACAATAAATGAATTATTAAGCATTGAATATTAAACTTGTAGTAATTTATTACAAAATAATAATACATACTAATAAAATGTGAAATATATTGAATAATATATAATGCTAATATTTGATTAGCATATGTATCGTTAAAAAATATACAATCAATTTATAATATTTAAAAAATATTTATATTTGCATAAATCAATCAAAATAAAAAAAAATATAAAAAGAAATGAAAATAATCTATATATAATAAGAAATAAAAACAACGCATGTTTGATAAGAAACAACAGAGTTTCCAATTAAAAAAATTTAAAAAAATAAAAATGATCTAAATATAAAAAAGAAATAAAAACAACAAACTTAAACAAACTTATATGTAGGAATACAATAAAGTTCCCAATTATAAACAATAAAATAAATTAATAGAATAAATATGTGATTTGTCACTTTAATACATGTATAAATAATACCCACACACCTTATTCCACTTTCTACTCCACATAACTTTATACATAGATTCACTCATAAGTTATGTTGGTATTAATTTTGTAGAACTACAAAAATACAATCAAACATGATATAAGTTATGTTAACTTTACTACTTAAACAAAAATTTCTACCAAACATTATATAACTTAATACATTATTTTATACATGAATAAACGGCAAGCTATACCATAACCAAACTGCCCTTAGTGTTTAGTGTTACATAAAGTAGCCCCTATTGTCGAAGATTTTCTCTTTTCAAGGGTCCTAAGGAGTTTGAAATATTTGTTATATATTCTACTAGATTTGAGCATGCTACACGTTATTATTTTAAGAGATTAGAAAAATATAATGCGTCCAAAGCTTAAATGGGTATAAAATATTAATAAAAATTTTAAAATGGTATGTAAAATTTTATATTAACCAAAATGGCAAAATCGCTGCATCAACAACGATTTACTTCACCGGAAAAAGCAAAATAGCTGCCTCTGCAGCAATTTTGCAAAATGTGAATTTTTTTTTTAAAAAAATGAAATCGCTACCTACGCAGCTATTTTAATTTTTTTTAAATCGCTACATAGGCTGAGATTTATAAAAAAAAATTAATTTTTTTTTTGAGAATGTGGAAGTCGCTGTCTACGCAGCGATTTCCAAAATAATTTTTTTTAAAAAAAATTTAAAATCGTTGCCTAGGCAGCGATTTTTTTTAAAAAAAA